GGGACTCACATTAAAAAAGCACCCCGATCTGTGAGAGGCAAGGGGATTCACATTAAAATAGCACCCGAAGGGAACATAAAACTACTACGTCCTCGTCGTTGTTCCTGTGTAACACTAAAAGTAGTTTCTCGGAAAAATTCAACGCTATCTATCACGAATGAAAAAAATTGTTTCAATAAAAATTTCACGTACAATCTAATTCTGCAATGAAAAATGTGGGTCCCCATTTGAGATTTGAACGTTATCACCCACCCTACCCCGAAAGGATGGGGGGGAATAACTTTTATTATGTTCTTTAAAAATATTGAACAGGTATTTTTTATTTCTCAATCCAATGATCATTTCTGGAGAATTGCGGAAAATATAATTTTTTGCGATTACAGCGCCATCTATTATGAATCAGAAAAAAAGTTTCGGACAAAATTTACGTATTTTGTGGCGCAGAATCCGTATCTGCAATAAAAAATGGGGGTTTCTATTTAAGATTTCAAAGTTGCCCCCAACCCCCAGCCCCAGGGGGTGAGGTGGGAGGTCGAGTTTGGTATCATTGGATGTCCCCCTTCGAGACTAACAACTTTCATTAACCACTTTTTTTTATCCAATGCATAATTCTCGAGATATTTCAATGTCTTCAGATAAATCGTGCACCCTGTATATATATATATATATATGTATATATATATTTTTTATACATATCTCTCTTTCTTTATAACATAATCCGATTATTTATTTGTACACCTAATATTACGTGTCCTTATATAATATTACATATATATATATATAAATTTTATATATATACATACAAATGTATTACATACATACAAATAATACATACAATACAAATAATACATACATACAAATGTATTAATTAAAAAATGCATGCAATGAATACTAATTATAAACAGGGTGTCCCATTTTAAGTGTCCACCCCAAATATCTCTCTTATTTTTGACTTTAGAGAAAAATGGTTCAGACACGTTTTGTATGGTTTCGAGGGGGTCATAAGATGGTACCATTGATTTGACCTTGAAGAGTCATTTGAACGTCACGTGAAGATTACCTCAATTTTTTTAGATGGCACTCCCTATTTTTTATTACATATTCTTGTAGCTGACCTCGAGAGCTTCCTAAAACACTATAATAAAATGTTTTTTGATGAAGTACTTTTCGAGTTATAAAGCTCCAAATTTACAAAATTTTGATAAAAATACAAAATATTTAGTAAAACATTCACTTTCCGATAGTCTTATCTTACATGATCCAATCAGTCAAGGCAAGATCTGAGCATGATCCAACCAGTCAAGACGAGATCCTATATTGCCTGATAATCAATGAACTGTAACAATTGTGAAAGTGCAATTGTCAATTCTTTTAATGAAACAAATATCAAGAGGCTTGTTTCAAATTTCTTACTTGGGCAATTGTCGGTATTTTGGCGAAGTCTCAGACAGACGCATATTATTATCCATTGACTTTTTTTTGATAAGACAGGAATTTTTGGTTTTCTAGCGCTTTTTTCTTTGTAATTATGGCTGCTTATCCACCAAATGAAATTGTGGACATGATTCGCATTTTGGATGAAGCTAGGAATAATTATTCGGCAGCAGAAAGGCTTTATGCTGAAAGATTTCCAGACAGACGCCATCCTGATAGGAAAGTAATAAAAAAACTCTGCGACAGAGCTGAACAGAGTTTTCTTAGAAGAAACGGGCGAAAATCGGGCCCTGATGAAGTCACATCATTGACTGTTATAGGTGCCGTTGCTTTGAATCCTCAAATCTCTACGAGACAAATTGAGAGGCAATACGGTATATCTAAATCAACAGCCAATCGTGTGCTCAAGCTCAACAAGTTTCACCCATATCACATTCATCTAACTCAGCAATTGGAAGAGAGGGACTACCAACGCCGTGTACGTTTTTGTAACTGGGCTCGAGATCAAATCCAACAAAATCCCCGGTTCATTGCTGATACGCTTTTTTCTGATGAAGCCACGTTTTGTAATAGAGGAGGCGTTAATAGACATAACTGCCATTATTATTCAGATGCTAATCCACATTGGCAGAGAAGCCAAGAGTTCAAACGGCAGTGGTCCATTAATGTTTGGGCAGGCATGGAAGATGTTATTGTTGATCCATATTTTTTTGAAGAAAATCTCAATGTGGCAATCTATCTAAGATTTCTTCAAGATGACTTGCCCAACCTTGAGACATGTCGACAATGATTTACTCAGACGAATTCCAACAAGATGGAGCACCGGCTAATAGATCTCGAGCTGTTACACAATATTTAAACAATAGATTCCCGAATAGGTGGATTGGTATGGGCAGCCGAGTTCAAGAATGGCCCCCAAGACACCCGACTTGACACCCCTAGATTTTTATTTCTGGGGCTACATTAGAGATATAGTTTATTCGCAAAAGCCTACAACCGTTGAACATATGAAAAACCGGATCAGACAGGCTTGCAGAAATATTAATGTAGGTGTTCTTAAAAAAGTTAGGGACGACTTTCACCATAGACTAGAGCTATGCATACAAGTAAATGGCCAAGTTTTGAACACTTTAAGTAATTGTACACAAAAGAAGATCTTGCCTTGACTGGTTGGATCATGCTCGGATCTTGCCTTGATTGGCTGGATCATGCTCGGATCTTGCCTTGACTGGCTGGATCATGCTCGGATCTTGCTTTGACCGGTTGGATCATGCTCGGATCTTGCCTTGACGGGCTGGATCATGCTCGGACCTTGCCTTGACTGACTGGATCATGCTCGGATCTTGCCTTGACTGGTTGGATCATGCTCGGATCTTGTCTTGACTGATTGGATCATGTAAGATAAGACTATCGGAAAGTGAATGTTTTACGAAATATTTTGTATTTTTATCAAAATTTTGTAAATTTGGAGCTTTATAACTCGAAAAGTACTTCACCAAAAAACATTTGATTATAGTGTTTTGGGAAGCTCTTGAGGTCAGCTACAAGAATATGTAATAAAAAATAGGGAGTGCCATCTAAAAAAATTGAGGTAACCTTCACGTGACCTTCAAATGACTCTTCAAGGTCAAATCAATGGTACCATCTTATGGCCCCCTCGAAACCATACAAAACGTGTCTGAATGTGTCAAAACGTGTCATTTTTCTCTAAAATTAAAAATAAGAGAGATATTTGGGGTGGACACTTAAAATGGGACACCCTGTTTATGAGAATAGCGGAAGTTGTTCTCAATATGACGGAGCCAATCAGCGCAGCTGACGCACATCTGCCACACTCTCCCTTGATCCTCTCTAGGCTCGGCTAAAAGCGACCCATGACCCCTCTCCTCCTTCTTCTCTCTGTCGATACCCTGAACGAATAGTGTATGTATTGGTACATGCATAGGGCCAGAGCACAGACTTCCGCATAACGCATAATACATAACGCATAAGAGAATCAACTAATCAGAGTTCTTCATTTCTGTCCTGAGGAAGGAAATTAAGAAAACTAATTGGTTTATTCTCTTATATGTTATGTATTATGTGTTATGCAAAAGCCTGTGCTCTTGCTCAAAGAGTCTTTTGTTCGCCTCCGTAGCGGTTGGATTTGGTTTCTGTAACTACGCATATTTTTCATCTTGGGGACTGTATACGCGTTGTCCCTGTTTCTCTTTTATTTCCAAAATCGTTGTGATTGGCGTAGGAGAAGAAGTGTAATAACTTTGCTTAGAGCCATATATTGAATGAATGAATGAAGTGTGCATGCATATTCTTAGGAGTCGCGTTGGAAAAAACATTCCGGGGTAACCGGGGTAAGTGGCCGCTCTCTGGGTCCTCTCTGCTTGAATGAATACTTTTCGTTCAAGCAAAGTTCCAATTAGAATGTTCAACTTCAAAGTTTCATTAACTTACTTTTTTCTCAGTATAGTAATCTCAGTACAATACTATGTAACCGAGCTATCAAAACGATGTATCATTGGTAAGATTGATATTCATTTTGGAATGTACAATAATGTAATAATGTAATGCAAACGAAAATATTGATTAACTACACAATTTACTTAAAAATTATAACTTTATCACAATACTCTTAGACGTGAGACATTCTATAGAACACAGAAAGTTGTAACAGCATTGCTGCAACGTTGCAACAATGTTGCAATGTTGCTGCAACTTTTGTTCTGTATGGGATACTCTCTAAATTTCTTGGAGTGAAATTTCACTCAAAAAATAGAGTGACAACCGAATTTGAATTATTTCTCATTTTTACAGAATTAATTATCTTATAGAGAATATTATATTATATCCATTTTGCATCGTTGAGCGAATATTTTCACTCGAAATTGAAGAATTAATCTGATGCATTCCATTGTCAGAGAAACATATCTGCCAGATGCTCCTTTAATAGTAGTGTTTATATTCTTGAAATTTGAATGCTGAGATACATTCCTCTTATATCTGTCATTCTTACCTCGTTAGTGCCTTTGTTTATTATCCATTGAAATAATACGTTGATATTGTTGTCATAGTTGATGCCCAATTTTTTAGAACTTTGTTATTAAGAGGAGTTGCTGATCCACATATGACAAGTGGGAAAACGATGTATAATTAAGTGAAAATATATTTTAAATTTCGATGTTTTGGCATATGGACAGTAGCTAAGGCCTAGTTATATATATATATATATATATATCTGTCTTTATTTATTTAATAAAAAAGATAAAGATAAACTTATATTTAAGTCTCACTTAAAACCAAAATAATGTTGGTGCAATTGGGCCTAAGATATTCAAGAGTCTTTGTAAAAAGGAAAGAAATAGTGTAACAAAGTTAGGAAGACTGAGAAGTTATATTTATAATATAAAAAATTATTTATATAGTATATGCATGTATATACTGTCCATATTTTCAACTCGTAAAGATTTCCTTCGTTTTCACGTGTCCTTTTTGTTTCCCGCGCAGCCTAAAAACAAACCTAAGGCAAAGTGAAAGAGCAATACATTGCTGACAGATGTGACTGTATAAAATATATTTACGAAATATATTTACTTTTGTAGCATAACATATAATTTAGATAAGTATACATATCTTGTGAGTGTTACATAATATGTATTATAAAAGTGTACACATATCGACCTTAATATCGTTACATTCACTAGCTCTGGGGTCACAAGTGTCCAATCGAATGCACCATCACGTACAAACAGAATGCGCACAGTTGGACTTAATTTTCAGTAGCCTTAGAGCTAGAGAGTGGGATGGCACTAATGCCGGTCTGTGTATAGCGAATATAAAAGATTACAGTTTACAATTGAATAAAAATATATACAAAGAATAAGAAGCTGGTCGATGTAACCTTAATGTTCCTCGTATCTTATCTATTGAGAACTCGGTCGCATTTGCGTCCGCGCACAAAGCGTTTCTCTCTACGATGTGTACACTCTACGTTTATAAACCACATTGACACAATTGTCAGAAAGAAAATATTATTGTTGTTTGTATTACGCACGGAGGATGTTGCTTCGTGTCGTGTTCTTGTTCAACAGCAACGCTACGAGAAATCTCTGGAGAATTTTCTTTTTTTTCACCTCCTTTCCAACGCGGTAAAAAAACGTTAAAAAAAAAAAGAAAAAGAGAAAATGATAATTCTGTCAATAAGAGCTTCACTAAAATAGATGTACGGACGTCTCTCACAGGATCGGATGTAAAAAGAAGCAGGCAAAAGTCTCTTGAAGAGAACGAACTCAAAGTTAATTTCAATTACGTACCGATAATAAATGCGCGAGACGAAAGAGATGATATTGCGAAATCCTGCAGATTCCTTTAGCTCCACCTTCCACGCGTTTCCCGTGCGACATAAATCCGATCCTGGCCTCATAGGATTAACTTAAAAATATAATAAAGCCGCAACACTGTCACACTGTGTCGACAGTATCGACGAAAAAATCTCGGCTCGATCGAGAGAGTGTATCCGTTAAAAAGAATTTACAACGATAAAAAGTTTTCCACGCTGGTTAATGCGCTATAAAACATGATACAAAATGATATATATATTTTTTTGTCCTTTAACTTGGGCCGTAAGCAGCAACGGAAATTACATCTCCGCACAGAACAAAAGTTCATACACACCGCATACACAACACACATATACGTGCGTGCCATCACATTTTCATGATATCGTTAGAACGTAAGAAGACTAATCGATTACTCTCGGTGAAGATCATCCCGGCGCTAGTCTTGTCCGTTACTACGTCTACGCTTTCTTAACAGTAATCCTTCTACATATATGTATGTATATATACGAATGTCCGTCAAGACACTACGCGAATGAACGCTTTTGTGGAAGCACCCTGAATCACTGTGAATAACAGTCGGAGGCCCGTGCTCTCGACTCCGTTCGGCGCCCGTTTAGCCCGAGACGCGGCTGTCTGCAGATCTGGCTTTCCGATTATACAACTCGGTACATGTATGGAAAGGAGCAGGCAGCCGCGTGAAGTGGACATTGAATTGCCGCGTTTTAGATGTCAAGAGCCAAAGAAAAGGACAATATGTGTGTGCCGGGAGAGCACGAGCCAAGGTTGATTTAACGTCGGTGGTCACGAGCGAACCCCGTGCCACGCGCGTAAACTCGTCGTACTCGCTCGTTGCTATAACGCTAATCCGCTAGTCCCTAATCGCTATCTCTAAGTTTGATCGGAAAAGATAAGTACTCCTCGCTCTTTACAGAAGAAAAAATCCGGAGGTCGCGCGCGCTCCGTCGACGGTGTCTCTTCTCTAAATTCTTCTCGCTTGCGATATACACGTGTGTTTGGACTAGGTTCGATCGTCGTGTTGTGGCGGGCCAGCACGACTTGGACACGGCCTCTGCTGTCGTCCGCCAACGTGAACGCATTCGCCTCTCTCAGACGTAGCTTTCGTCGTCGACGACGGATCTCCCGTGACCCAAGTGCCTCGTGGTGATGGGCGCACGAGGTTGTGGCGGCGGGCGATACGGTGGCGGCGGAGGCAGAGACCTGGACCTGCCTGCTACCTTGTGACGATCCTCCAGGTTCATGTGCACCGGCGGCAATTGCCTGAGCCGTGGCGGCAACGGCGGCGGCGGCTCCACCCACGTCCTCTGAACCTGTACTTGCATCTCCACCACCTCTTCTTCGTCGTCGTCGTCGTCGTCTTCGCTGGGCTCGTAGAGCGACAGGTCGATCGGCTCGGCCATCACGAACGGCCACGTGTCGATGCGCTCGTTGGAGCCGTACAGGTCACCCGTGCGATCTCGGTTAATCGTGGCGTACGTGTTGTTGTCGGACTCGTAACGCTCGCCGGCGGCACCGCGCGTCGTCGAATCCTTCTTCGCGTACAGCTCGCTGCTCTTCGGCTTCTTGTAGAACTCGCTGCTCTTCGAACGGTAATTGCCGCTGTTCTGCGACACCGACAAGTCTCCGGTGCTCGTGTACTTGTCTTCGGACTTGATCTTCTTCTTGAACTCGCTGAAGCGCTCCTTCTTCTTCAACTCGTAACGACTCACATTGCACAGGGGCGACGTGTCGCCCGACACGTCCTGCTTCGAGTTGTGGATCGGGCATCTTTTCACACCACCGCGGATATCCTGTTGCTGTGGGCTGCGGTAGAGGTCCTTGCAGTTCTCCACGTTCTCCTTCATCGAGTCTTGCCTAAGGTATTCTTGGCCGTACAGGTCCTTGTCGTCGTACCTCTCCTTCCTGTGCTCGTGCTCATCCAGCTTCGTCCTGGGCGTCCTCTTCAGTTGAGCTCGTAGCCAGTCCTGTCTCTGAAAGTTGGGATTCGGGCACGCGCCACCAGCGGTCTTCTCTTCTCTGAAGTTGTGCTCCACGCTGTTCGAATGGTGGCTACTGGATGCGTAGCTGTTCATGCGCTCCTCCCATCCGGCGTAAACCCGAGTGTAGGTTTTGCCGTTGGATTTGTCCTCCTTCGCGAGGGGCTTGTCGAAGGTCGACGATGGCGCGTTCATCGTTGAATCCTCCGAGCCTACTGGTGACTCCGGCAGAAACAGCTGACAATCCGATAATGTCAAGCCGGAATCTCTCGAAAGTGTCATGGGGTCCCTACGCGGGTGCTCCGTCAGATCGAGGCTGTCCAAGGAAAGCCCACCTGCTGCGAGAAAATCATTTTGTTTTAACGATGACAATGTAACCATTTTCTTTGTTCATCTTAAAGCAAAGCACATCTTTTTAATTTAGTCAAGTACTATTTTACTACAATTTTTTAGTGATTAACTTAAAATTAAATCTAGTCACTAAAAAATTGAATAAAACATTTAAACAATTAAAAATTAAAATTAGAAGGATTAAAAGAAAATTTAAAACAAATTAAAAATATCGAACAAAAATGGTAACAAAATTTTAAGAAATTAAATTTTTTAAATTAAAAAAATTAAAACAACAACATATTGTTTAGTTAAATATCGTTTTATTAAAATGAGTTAATTTCTTAAAACTGCATTAATAAAAAATGCATTAATAAAAAATTGAACAAAAAATTAAAAAAATTAAAAATTAGAATTAGAATTAAAAATTAAAATTAGAATTAAAATAAAAAAATAACAAAATTTAAATTTAAGTTTATAAAATTAAAAATATTAAACATAAATGATAGAATTTTAAAAAATTAAAAAATTAAAGAAAAATTAATGTACACAAAACTGTAGAAAACATACAAAACGTATTGTTTATATGAAGAAAACACGATATTCAAGGCTACTAAAGTGATCGGTGTGCAAACGTTAGTCGAAATGAATGCTTAGCACTTACAGTGAAGACTATCGGTACTTTCTTCGGCCCCGCTATCACTGCGTTCTTCTCCGAGAAGCTGCGTGACGCCGGCGCCGAACAGATCCTCGCAATGACGAATCAGCATCTCTGTGATCGTCGGGATCGCCCTGCTCTGGTTCACCGATGGATTTGCCGACCAGAGTAGACTCGGGCCGCAGCATACACCGAGATTGCTGGCGCACATGAGGTTACGCTTCGATCGCCTCGCTACGTGATGTAGCACGCAAACCAGGTGCGAGAGTAACGTATGGTTCGCCTTCGGCAGCCTGTCCAGGATACTGAAATTTGATGGTTGGTTGTAAATTCGTGACGAATCGGGCGAGTATACACGGCGAAAATGACTATTTCGTGACACAGTTCACACTACTATGACTAATTGATCGCTTACTTCTTCATGGTTTGCACGGGATGCTGCGAATCCAAGCTCTCCATCCAAAGGGGAAACAAATGGGAGGTCAAGAGAGGGTCTGGCAATGATCTCAGAAAGTCTTTCAGCAAGGCTGCCACCGCTATGATCGGCGCATCCTCGAGACAGCTGGGGTCACTGGTGGACTCTAGCTGGTCCCGCAGCTCCCTGACAATTCGGACGTTCGCAGACTTGCGGAAAATGCCCTGTGTGAAGGGACCCTTGGCGAACAGCTGCTGCAGCATCATCAATACCGGCTTAGGCAGGCCGTTCTCGTCCAGCTTGGATAAATTCACGCCGAATAGGCTCGGATTTAATGACAGGGATCGTCGCAACAGATCGGTGATCTTAGACCGACTGTTCTTCTTTACGGGCGATTTCATTATTGGCCTGAGGATGAAGTGACAAGTATCGTGGACACTTTTGTTGCAGTGTTCCAGATCGAAACCTTCCTCCGCCGACAGAATATGCCGCAGACTCGACATCTTCACGGCGAACGGTCGCTCGTGGCCTATCAGCGGATACGGCGCCTCGTCCGCGGCGGTCTTGGCCCATAGCTGGAAGTGCCCTTGAAGATCCAGCAACGGCATCGCCAGATTCAGGCAGGCCGCCGCCGTCATCTCGGAACCCACCATGATCGACTTGCACTGTGAAATGTGAAACTACATGTATTATACTCTCTCCTTCTTTCTCCCCCTTGCCCTCCCCCTGCCCCTTCTCGCCGCCGGGTCGCGTTACAAAAGACTGAGCGATAGGTCCGCGCGATTAGTCACCGGAGCCTGTTTACCGACAATAGAAAGCGTTTATCTAACGGAAATTGACTCGCGCGATCTTAGCGTTGTCACACGGCCGCACTGCCTATGCATGTCTATAACGTCGTGAATTATGAACGGTGACTGAAATAATGGCCGGGGTACAATGCGCGACGCTCGTCGCAGAACTAGGCGACGCAATTCTAACCCGACAGTCGTTCGCCATACAAAAGGATTTTCTCTTCCGGGAGACAGACAGACAGACAGACAGACAGACAGAGAGAGACAGAGAGAGGCAGAGAGAGACAGAGAGAGGCAGAGAGAGGCAGAGAGAGGCAGAGAGAGGCAGAGAGAGGCAGAGAGAGGCAGAGAGAGGCAGAGAGAGGCAGAGAGAGGCAGAGAGAGGCAGAGAGAGAGGCAGAGAGAGGCAGAGAGAGGCAGAGAGAGGCAGAGAGAGAGGCAGAGAGAGGCAGAGAGAGGCAGAGAGAGGCAGAGAGAGGCAGAGAGAGGCAGAGAGAGGCAGAGAGAGAGGAGAGGCAGAGAGAGGCAGAGAGAGGCAGAGAGAGGCAGAGAGAGGCAGAGAGAGGCAGAGAGAGGCAGAGAGAGGCAGAGAGAGGCAGAGAGAGGCAGAGAGAGGCAGAGAGAGGCAGAGAGAGGCAGAGAGAGGCAGAGAGAGGAGAGAGAGAGAGAGAGAGAGAGAGAGAGAGAGAGAGAGAGAGAGAGAGAGAGGGGGGGGGGGGGGGGAGGGGGAGAGAGAGGGGGGGAGAGCGAGAGAGGGGGAGAGGGGGAAGGAGAGGGGGAGGAGGGAGGGAGGGAGAGCGAGAGAGGGGGAGGGAGAGGGGGAAGGGGAGAGAGAGGGGGAGAGAGGGAGAGGGAGAGAGAGAGGAGGAGAGAGGGAGAGAGAGAGGGGGAGGGAGGGAGAGGGAGAGAGGGGGAGAGGGAGAGAGAGAGAGAGAGGGAGGGAGAGAGAGAGAGAGAGAGAGAAAGAGAGAGAGAGGGGGGGGGGGGAGAGGGGGAGAGAGAGAGAGAGAGAGAGAGAGAGAGAGAGAGAGAGAGAGAGAGAGAGAGAGAGAGAGAGAGAGAGAGAGAGAGAGAGAGAGAGAGAGAGAGAGAGAGAGAGAGAGAGAGAGAGAGAGAGAGAGAGAGAGGGCATGACCGAGCGTGTATGCCGAGCGGCGTACGAAAAATATGAGCGCGCGGTACTTACGTGTTCCGTGTTCGTGTCGCTGTCGTGATACAGGACTCGGATGCTCGTGTGCGGCGGCTCCTTCATGCTCTCCTCTCGCACGAGCTCAGTGAGCCGTCCCCACCAGAGGTCTCGTGCCGCTGCGGTCCTACCGAGAGGGAGAGAGAAAGAGGAAGGTAAATGGTAACGAAGATAATCAAGCCGCTATGAGACATCGAGTCTGTCATTCTGGTTCCCGATACTCGAGATTGGGGGAGATATATAGGGTGTTAAGAAAAAGTTCAAGGGCGAATAGTATTCACAATGTGGAAGAAAAGTTCTACACAGTTAAAAACGTTTCGTATTTTTGTTAAAATTTTGTGTGTGTAGAAAGTTGTGTTAAATTTTTTTACACAGTCGTGTGTTAATTTAACATATCGTTGTTGCGTTACTTAAACTTTCTTGTGTTAAATTAAGATTAACTATTTTCAAGTGTTAAAATAACATTTTCAAGTGTTAAAATAACACAATTTATATGTAAATGCATGAATTCTTGCTCTGACATATTTTATATGTTAAAGTCAACACGTAAAATGTGTTACTTTCCTCATTGTAACAGCTATTATGTGTTTAATTAACTATTTTCATCTTGGATTTTTAACGCATAGATTATGTCAATCTAACATTTTCATTTCATCAAATCATAGATCATTACTTTTCCCAAATGTTGAAGTAATATTCATTATATGTCAGTTTAACATAAACTGTGATTCTTAACGGCATACAAATGTTAGGTTAGGTTAAAATTTTTTGTTAACTTTTTACATATGCGTGCTTTTTAACATATTTGTTATATTATGTTAAATATGTTAAATTAATATATAATATGTTAAATTAACAATATGTTAAATTAACATATAAATGAGAGTGGATAATTTGAGACACATGAAATATGTTAAATTTAACACATCATTTCTTACAGTGTAATAAACATGGATGGAAAAATTAATACTGTCGGAGTTATGTAACGATTATTTATTTTAATTCAAGCAAGCGATTTAATCATTTTTGATGCTTTTGTACTCTCTGACATAACTTGTCTATGTTATTTCTCGGTGAAGAGAATACCATGCTTTAAAGGAGTCCTTAAAAAAAGTCTCTTCGCTCTTGCTCAGAATATAAACAAACATCTATTTTCTTCCAATTTACACACACACTTCAGCAAGCAATTGTGAGTCCTCGTGAACAGTGAATAATTGCAGAGAGCTGTCACAAAATTTTTACAGTACGGTAAGAATGACGTCGTATTACTCTAATCAAGATATGTCAGAAACGTATTTCATGTATGGCCATGCACCAGAAGCGACCAAGGCACTTGTTTGAATTAAAATAAATAATTGTTCGTAACTCCGGCAATATTAATTTTTCGATCTATGTTTAGTATAACTTTTCCCCTTCATTTTGTGAATATTATCTGCCCTTAAATTCCTGAACCCCTTTTTTGAAACATCCTATATATCTTACAGAAAAATCCACTTAATCCATCAGAGACCCGCGTGCGCCCCGTCTCCAGGACGATTCTTTTGCATTGAAGAAAAGCAATTGTGTGTGTAACGTTATTTTCACGTTTGCAGAACCCAATTCCCAGTTGTGTCTGCACTTTCGACAAAAGATCATTCTAAACTAATTGGAATTATTTTTATCGACAGCACAGATCCAGTTCTAGTCCTAATTGGAACGAAATCTGCGACATCGTGCGAATCTGCGAATAAAATCGAATTGATTCCAATGTTAATCTGAGAAATAAAAAAGACCGAAAGTCTTTGATTGAAGATACTTGAGAAATCATTGCGGTCTCTAATGAGATGAAGAAAAGCACAAGTGTCACTTGTATGATTCGACCCGGTTCTCACGCGAATAAGACGAAGGAGTCCATTCCTTACATGAAAGTCGCCACGACATTCGTAGTGGGCCATCCGAGGACAAAGCTGGTCTCCGAGGACTTGCTGGTCTCTGCCACGTCCTCTATGTGACCCGCAGTGAGCCAGAGCTCGCTCATCCTAACGGTCTGCTTTAGCTTGAAGTTTCCGCCACTTCGCGACTTCGCGATCAGCAGGAGATCGGTGAAGAGGAAGAGATGCCTCTCCTGAGATTGCATGCCCTGAAAAATTTACGCAGAGACCTTAGAACTGAGTCGCGAAATTCGGAGAAATTGACGTTTTATCAGACTTCTTTATTTCTTAAAAGAAAAAAAAATGCTGCCTGGCACATACCGTAGTGAACTGAACTGGCGTTTCCAAGAGGAAGGTCCTCGACGGCGATTTCGCTGGTGGACTATTATTCGCGTAGAGCATCGAGGAATTCAGGGACTTCTGAGACAACACTCTCGTTAGCTTGCCGGGATTGTTGCCGTTCCTCTTACGTAAGTTCAAGTTTTTCATCTTCTGAAAGTAACAAGCAGCTGGGTTAGATTAAGGTACTGAAGTACCGCCAGAGCGACAGCGGCAAGCATGTTCGCAACATGCTCTAACATGGGAAAAGGTAACGAAACGCGTGTGTGAAATGCGTGTAGAAAAGTGCAAGCGGGAACATGAAAAGACAAGGTAGCTTTCGAACGAGACGTGTACTTTGTCCGAATACTGAAATCTCAGTTTGCACGGCCTAGTCGCCGTCTTGGAAAATTTTTAAACCCCCCCTCCCCCGGTGTCGCAAATTGGGCCTCCCACGGTAGAGGAAACTCGAAGAGATCAATTTCACGAGTGCGTCAACTCGGCAATCCGCGACAATAATTTCGACCGCAACCAGTTTCCAGTTTTTTCTGGAACTAATAATGAGCGACCTCGAATCGATCTGCGGAAAATTAATCTTTTCCCTTAAAAAATCCGCATCAGTTCTTTCTGCACGATTTTCATATGAACCGATTCTTTTCAACAGAGAATCGAGTCTCGAGTTCTATGTACTTATTCATCAACGTTGTTTCGTTAAATGAAGAATTCAATTGCGGCCAACGTTCGTACAGAATCGATTTGTACGAAAATCGAACAGAAGAGGATCGATTTAAAAAATAATTTTTAGAGGAAAGGATCGATCTCCCGAAAATCAATCTTCTTCTGCAAACTGATTCTTTTCGATAAAAAATTGAATTTCGAGTTTTATATACTTATTCATCAATGCTGTTTCGTCTAATGAGGAATTTAATTGAGGTTAACGTTCGACAAAATCGATTTGTATAAAAATCGAACAGGAAAGAATTGACTTAAACATCAATTTTTGGAGAAAAAGACCGATTTATTGAAAATCAAATCTTTTCTGTTCGATTTTTGTGCAAACCGATTCTTTTCAACAGGGAATCAAATTTCGGGTTTCATATATCTATTTATCAATATTGTTTCATTTAATGAAATATTCAATTGCGGTGAACGTTCGACAGAATTAACTTGTACAAAATCGAACATCGAGAGGATTGATTTAAAAATCGGCTTCTGGAGGAAAAGATCGATTTCCGAAAATCGAATGAAGTTGGCCCAGCCTTAGCCCGCGTCTCGATCCGTTCGAATTTCGCTGTGTATACGTTCTCAATCTCATCATGTCCGCCAAATGTGCTGCCATGCTGCCAAAGGGAATTAACAGTTACGTCCGAAAAATATCACTGCCAAATTCGGCCGACTGAACGATCTCGTCGAGGGCGAAAGAGGAAGAGAGAAAGAGCACACCCATACGGATAGCTTCCTCGAGACGGATAAGGCGACTGATTTACATAGACCGAGGCTTATTAGATTCTTTCTAACGTGTCCCAACATCCTCTATTCTTCTCTCCGCTTCTTTCACATTACGAAATCACTCTTCTGGATGACGTCGCCGTCGGCGGAGTGTCCCACCTCCGTGCGTCTGTCTCTCATTGTGTCGCGGACAGGCGACGCACGCGTTGTTATAACGCATAATAAACCGCGGGACTATGACGTGTCGTGTTCCAAACGCGACAGATGGATTATCCGCTGTTACTCACGACGTTACATTGGAAAGTGCATCGCCCGCCGCTCGTGTGGACGTTTCTTTTTCCGGCCGACGTCGGCGCGTTCTATCGGATAAAAGTATCCATTCCTCCGCGTCGTGCTCGCGTACAACGCGTAAAATATCTCAACCGCGCGGAAGCGACGAGTAACGTTAGACGATAAACCATACCTTAACCCATTAATGCCGGCTGGGACAGAAATTTCGCGTTGATTTCAATGTTATGAATTTTTATGAAAATGCTCAAAAATTTTAATCCAAAGTACATTACTAGGGGTTTTCGAGGTCGCTCTTTCCAAATCCGCTGTGAGAATCATAAATAAATGAGTGTTTGTATTGATTTGTAACGGTTTCTTTTTTCAAAAAAATGCGATTTTTTCTCGTCAATTTTTTTTAAATCATTTAAATCAAACAATACGGAAATTTCGACTGAAGTTATCAGGACTCAGTCTGAATTATCAAGATTTCGGGTTTATTTAAACGAAATTCTGATATTTCCAATCAAAACTTCTGAATCGTTTATACTTTACCCGATGCAGTCATTTTTTAGCTTCAAATATTTTTAAGTTACTTACTGATTTGTTACTAACGAAAAATCGTTATCATGTTGAATATTTATTTTCAGTACTCCTCTACTTTAATGTTCTTTTTAGTTCTCTTTTCCTACAGTTATTATAATCTTAATGTTGTTTTATGAACTTTGAGAGTCATGATCATCTTCAGAAAAATCTATATTTTCGCGTCTTTAGTTGATACTTCGATAAATCGCTTCTAGCAAATACTTCTGTAATATCGCTAATTGCTTCATCACTGTTCATATTTCAACGGTTTAGAAAATTAATTCACGTTACAAAATAGTTTGCAACTGTTGCCACTTGTTACTGCATTACATAACCGGTCTTGATTAGTGCATAGGAAACGCGAGATATCTCATCATCCGCCCGTAAAGTGTTATGAGTTTTTATGCCATCTTATTACAGGTATGCCAAAGTTTCCATCGTTTTTAAAACAATATTTTTTATTAATATGATTATAAATGACATAGTATCTTTAATCAAAATATTTTCAAAGTATTATCTACTACTTTTTGCCATCTTTCAGGCTAAAGATGGATACCACGATGAAAGTCTTCGCTCTTAAAATGAATGAAATTATCAATGAATTGTTGCACTTCTTCAGCATTGTGAAATCACCAGAAAGACTGTGTTGCATAGAACGAAATAAGTGAAAATTCAATGAGACAATATCTGGAGAATATACTGGGTGTGGTAGGACTTTCTATTGCAAATCCATTAAAGTTTCCCGGGTCGTCAATGCAACATGGGGCCTGGCATTGTCATGCAGAAGAATCATTGTTTTGTCGCAAAATATGGCTGCTTCTCGATCAATTGCTCATTCAACTTCCTCAATTGTCGACTGTATAATTCCGCGGTGATAATCTGAGACGGTTTTAACAGCTCATAACACAACACTCCTTGCACTCCCACCAGACACAAAGGAGGACCTTATGACCATGGATATTTCGTTTTGGCTATGACGTAGAGACTTCTCTGGGATTGACCCATGATCTTTTGCGATTCGAATTTTCATAATAAATCCATTTTTCGTCTCCCATCACAATTCGATACAAAAAAGACTTTTGTTTATGTTTATTGAGCAGCAAAAGGCAAACTCGGCTGGCAATAGCATTCTCGAATAATTCATGGGGGAAGCCATTTTCCTTCCTTTGGAATTTTCCCCATCTCATGCAAGTGTCGAATTACAGTGCTCTGATTAATATGTAACTTTTTCTACATTGGACAAGAAGGCGACTAGTCTGCGACCGAAACTGGTACGGATTTTTCGAATTGTTACAAAATTTTCATCATATTTATAGTGAGTTTGTACTATTTCTATGCGTTACTCGAATATCGATACATTGTTATTAACCGCATAATTTTTACTCGACAGTTGTCAAATATGACAGCTCCCTCTGTGACAGAGGTGAAAAATACTGCGAAGTAAAATAAAACCTCTTAGCCCAGTTCCACAACTTACTATAAACGGAGTTTAATTCGTTAATCTTAGTTTAGAGAAAAAGTTGCGTTCCACAACTGTCGTAAACCACGATTAACGTCGATTTTCCGCAGTTAAAGTTAAACCCTCAACTTTGGATGTTTAGTGAATTTAAACGAAGTTTAACACTCATCAATTTGAGGCTGCGTTCCGATATGCACTGTCAGTATTGAATATACTCTATAATATATATATGGAGTATATATTATATATTATAGAGTATATATATATATACTAGAGTATATATATATATATATTAGGTTGTTCGGAAAGTTCGTTTCAAATTTCGCGCGCTCCACATTTCTATGTAAGCAGTAAGAACGAGGGCGCTCTAAACGATTTTATGTTTGTCAACAAACATTCCCGGATCTATGATTCCCGCTAAGGAAACTTCGCAGATCTTCCTAAGTGCAACTATTTCGTCAGAAATCAGTTTGAAAAATGGAGAACCAAAAAGTCCATTTTCGTCATGTGATGCTATATTAAACGTGGCTTCACGGCTTCGCAGACCCTGAATGAGATGTTCTCAGTATATGGAGATGCCTGCGTCACTCACCAGACAGTTCGAAAATGGTATCGAAGATTCGAAGCTAGCGATTTCAACATGGAAGATCAAGCTCGCTCAGGCCGGCCTCAGGAGGTTGATGAAACGCTTCTTATGGATCTCGTGCACGAAAATCCTCGAGTGACGGTTAGAGAACTCGCCGACACTCTGCACAAGTCTGTTTCCACCGTGCATGACCATCTGAAGAAGCTAGGATTCTCAAGTCGACTGGATGTGTGGGTGCCACACGAAATAAATGAACGGCAGTTGCTGGAACGTGTGAACGTCTGCGATATGCTGCTTCAACGGCATCAAAAAGAACCGTTCTTGAAGAGGATCATAACAGGCGATGAAAGTTGGATCCTATACAATTATGTTAGCCGCAAGAGGTCGTGGGGAACCAGCGACGCGTCTACGCAAAGTGGCCAAGCCGGGGCTTCACGCGAAAAAGATTCTTCTGAGTATCTGGTGGGATTTTAAGGGCGTGGTATATTATGAGCTTCTTCAACCAAACGAAACCATCAACGCGGCGAAGTACAGCCTTCAACTGGACGAACTGAAGACTGCCATCGCACGGAAGCGCCCTGAATTGGCCAACAGGCGTGGAATTGTTTTCCATCATGATAACGTCAGACCTCACGTCGCAATGTCTATCCGTAGGAAGCTGTTAGACTTCGAATGGGACGTTCTTCCTCATCCTCCATATTCTCCCGACCTTGCCCCATCTGACTACTATCTATTTCTTTCTTTAAAAAATTTTCTTCGGGACAAGAAATTCGAGTCTTTGAAAGTCCGCAAAATTCATCTTGATAAATTCTTCGCCAATAAGAAACC